TGACTTCTTGCAACCTTCCTGGAGCCAGCAATATTAATTCAAAGTTTTGTCAGAAATTCTGACCTACTGATAGTTTCTTGGTACAAACATTGGTGAAAAGGCAATGAATGGTAGTAATTTTCCAGGTTAAGTTACTGAGCCGTTCATGCAAGGTACATCAGCCATTTTTCAGACATCTGGCCAGACTTTTCCCAAGTGAGACTAAGCCGTTTATTGTCCCCCAGAAATGACCGTAGTTTTTTTATTCACTTTCGGTGAGATCTTTTCAGTTTTTCATAACTTGAATGAGAATAATATATTTATAAATGTGAATTTATCATATCTGAATTCTTCATTTCATATTAATTTCAATAAAATTTGAATGCTCAAAGTACCATAATTTGGAGAGAAGTTAGTCAAATAAGGTTTTTATTTAGCTTCATTGTCTAAAGCACAAACACAATAATAAGATGTTCAATTTTATTTCTGTCAAGTTTACAAATTTTTACCTATCCCGTCATAGTTCGATATGTAATAAATAAAAGGAAGTAATGTAAACATTCATTTATTAAATAACTTTATGTCCGGATTATGGAAAAATTCAAGGTTTTACAGTATTTTCAATTCTTCTTATTATTATTAGTTTTATTATCGTGATTATTAACTATATATTTGCTACTAAATGGTATATTCAAATATTCAAGAACTAAATCCTAACGAATGATATTACGGTTTCAGTTCTATATTATTTAAATAAGTCTGTAATGAAAATTTAAGTGCATCTTTGGTATAATTTGGAGACATTTCTCGAAATTTCTGAACAATTAACAGTGCTCGCTGTTTGCTGTCTTCATCTTTCGTCAGCAAATTATTATATTCACTCACGAGTGCCACACTTCTCTCAGCAATATCATTTGTGACATGGAGAGATTTGACGATTTCAAAAGTTTTAATAAAATCCTCACTTGTCTCCCATGTCGTTGGATCACTATCCAGAAAACTACTATCTATTGTGAGAATTTTAAAAAAGTTGATCGTTTTTTCATTGACAAATGAATCTAAATCTAGCTCTTGTACCGCCCTTTGATCTTTAATTTCAATTGCTCGTGGATTTCTTTCACTATTGAAAGCAGAATGGGTTTTAAGAGCCTGGCACATTTTTCTTTTAATTTCAATGGATACGTTTTTATCGAAAAAAGCAAACGCAATTAATTCTTCCGAAAGATACCAAAGATATTTTTCGAATTTATGGAATACCGCTTTGCAAATTTTTGAAGAAACGGAACCAACAATATCAATATTTTGAGCTATTTTTTTGAGCAATCGCCAGTCATTGTTTGGTGTTGTAATGGGATTGGACGCGGTAAACCAAGTCTTTTGATACAGCACCACAATAAAAATGCATAATTCTCTGAGCCCTGATTCTTCGGAAGATGTCAAATGAAATTGGTCTCTAAACAAAAACATTTTCAGCGAATAAATCGCTTTAGCCATCCATCTTGCGTGATGAATGGGACCCAAAGCTCGGAATCGATTCCCTTTCTTTAGATTTCCACCGAGGAACAGGATTATCAATTCCAAAAACTCTTTGTAATCGTCGCGAACGATTTCTTTCTGTAAAAGATAACAATCATAATGAATATTATACTTCGTAATATATGTTAAAAAATTCTCGAAAAAAGGAAGCATGAGTAAATTAAATCAATGTAAACAGTTTATGAGCACTAACCTTCAATTGATCTTCAGCGAAAGCAAGACTATCGGCCATATTGTATTGCAGGGCTTTTCGCACTCTAACATCATCCACTCCAGGGGAAAATTTGTCTTCTTCAATATTTTTCCAATGCCCTTGGAACCTTTTGAAGATGAGAACTTCCGGTCCAGATGTGCCTCCCATTGTACATTGAAATGCCGTTTTCAGAAGGAGCTCAAAGATATGATGACGGCAAGCCAAGTATAGCAAATCCCTGCCAATTAATTTTTCAAGCAGGGTACAGGCACCAGACACGTTGCCTGTATTACTTGCAGTTGTATCAAATACCATGGCTGATACATCGTCTACGACGTTCCACTCTTTTAGGCAATTGTAGACCGCTGCTGCCTGCAATTCACCTCTTCCATTTTCCAGCCCAGGAACACCAAGCAATTGATACCAGTCATTGCCTGATATAAGGACTGGAAGTCTTTCAATTTTTTGGTATTTGTTATCTGCCCGTGGTAATTGCTTGCCGTCCCAGTGAACAGTG